GTTTATTCTAAATTTAAATAGAACATCTGTAACAACATTGTAACGTTCATTTACTGATTTACAATATCCACAGGTGGATCTCCTTACCCAGGGATTAACGGTCGTGAAATTGCGAACAAACTTCAACAGGGATACCGAATGCCAAAACCTAAACATGTTGAAGAAAAACTGTGAGTTTTCTTGTTGTTGTCTTTCTTGAAAATAGAAACATATCATGTCCTCCTCACCGCGTTGGGCTAATCACCCAATCCCGGACCAAGAAACTGACTATGGATACCATAGAAACAGTCAGTCGTACTAGGCCATTCCGAGTTGCCTTTTTCCTCTGTTTTTGAAAACAAGTTCATCTGTAAAACCTTTCATGTGAAAATTAGTTTGATTGCATGAACTTGCACATGCGAGGAAAACTCATTTTCATATGACGTGGAAATGTTGTGCACTACGAGAACTCATTTTTGAAGCAAAGGGAAAACAAGGAACTCGGAAATGGCCTATTGAACAGCTACCCTGATTGGTCAATTTTATTCACATCAGGTGATGAAGTAACGAAAGTATGTGTTATGCCGTTTGGTGGCAATAACGTCTATTCGCACTGCATACATTATCAGCATCACAAAGTAATACTGAGAACAACAAACCGTGAATAAATTGGCATTGCTTTTGTGCAACGGCATAGAGAATATATCAAGTGCAGAGTGACTGACATTGTTTTTGGAATGTTCATAGGGGTGTGTCGAGGGTGTTCACTCTGCTTGAGGATAATGGCCAGCACAACCTTTCCCGGCGCCCACCCACAAGTTTCTCATTCGCTATGACTCTTGTCGAATTTTACCCAACCTTAAATGTAATGCGATAATTGTTGCAGTGCGAAATTTTACATTATTGATATGGACTACATATGTTTAGTTACCAGATTATGTTTCCAGTGCTGGCAAGAGAATCCAAACGACCGACCGACATTCTCCAAACTCAAAGATACCATCACTAAAATGGCGCAAACTAATAACGTATGTTAAAATACTCTTTATTCTTTTTATTTTACGCATCAACATACACATTCATAAATATTTTGGGAAAAGATGAGAGCAAGTTGATATTCATGTGAGTTTTGCTTGTCTTTTTCAGGCGACATATGTCAACATGAAGGAATATGATACTAGTTTGTACGCGAATGTTGACGACCTATTTGTGTAACAGAGGATCGAAGAGGAAGACCTCATAATAATGTTATGGATACAGGCAGCAATGAGATTTTTATATAATGTTTTACGTAGCAGCAACGTTCCTCACTAAAAGTAATACCCGTAGCTACAACTTGCGGAAAGGTAAAAAGAAAAAAAGGAGAAAATAAAGAATAGAAATTATAGGGAAAAAAGAAAAATAGAGTAGGTTATATTTTTTTACATAAATTATAGTGAATTATAACTATAAGGTAAACTAGTGAGGTAATAATATAAGCAATTTGTATATTGGCGTAGGAGATCTTATAATATTTTGTTTTGTCTTCAAGTATACAGGTAGGGGTGTGTAAAGTTTGGCGATTGACAATTGGCATGGAAGTCAGTTAGAAAATTTGATTAGAAGTTCTTTTACTTAAATACTCTGGTCAATAAGTCAATCAGTAAGGGTAGATCCATGAGGGGGAATGTAATTTTGCTTCGATTGAAAAAATCCGTGTATAATTATTCGAACAGAGGTTGCGACGACGGACGACGGTAACCGGCAGAAAACCAACACGTATGCCGATATATTACTGGACTCAATTAGAAACGTGTGCAACTGGTTTGTGACATACCAATCTGACGAAAGAGATATCTTGAACGTGTTTTAGACAACAATAACTACAACGTCGGCCTTTTTTTCAGAACGAAACAGTCACGGAACTACTGAACCTAACGAAACTAACAGTACTACAGCCGCCATACGCGCCTTACAATATCCATGTAACCCACAAACCCATAACTACGTTACGACATTTATTGACCAACGTTAAGGACACGGACGAACCTAACGGCAGACAGGGAGCAGGGAGCAGTTTACAACATTTATTGCTCCGACTGGCAGGCATCTTACATCAGTGAGACTGGTAGAAACCTGGGGCTGGATTCACGAAGCCCTCCTAAGCTAAGAGGTATTCTAAGTATTGTTACCTAACATTAGGCTTTTGTTAGGAAACAATACTTGGGATACATGTTAGTTTAGGAGGGCTTCGTGCGTCCGTCCCCTGAACATTAGCCTGACTGAACACAAACGAGCGATGAGATATTGCTGAATGCCATCACATGAACATTGTAAGCCTGGTAGACATTACTGAAGTACAGCTATATATATGGCAAATAGGCCTGTTATCCTCCCACTCTTTATTGAGTTTGTTGGAATTTTTTCATACAGTCGAACTTCTCGTAAACGGACACCCTTGGGACCCGAAAAGGTGTTCACTTGGCCGGGAGAGGTGTCTGCTTATAGGAAGTTAAAAATGCAGTGTTTGTATGTGGCTGTTCAAAAAGCCATGACTATAGTCCACCTACGGGAGGTGTCCGTTTGCGGAGGTGGTATTCCTGACCAATTTTTGTAAATTCCTACATTCATCCCATAACATACGATTAATGGGTAATTTATATAATTTAAGAAACTCGGACTTCCATATTTTTAGATTTAACACCGTCAGATATGGAAAACATTCCTTAAGATACTTTGGACCGCGTTTATGGTCCAAGCTCAGCCCCGTGACATAGACAGCGCAACACTAACGGCCTTTGTTACAAAAATACGCAAGAGAGATCTTACCATGACCGAAGATGACGCCTGTAAGGGCAATTGCCCGAAGTGTTGTCAGTAATGATATTAATTTAATGTAAATAGACTAAGATAGTTTTTATAGATTTTATAGATATAGTTATTATATATATGACTTGTAAAGTAATGTAATTTTTATAGTATTTTGTATTGTAATGTAATGTAATTTTTATAGTATTTTGTGATATTTAAGTTTAGGTGTCCCGATTAGTGGGCCTTTTGGCACGCTAGAAGACTTCGACACATTAATAAAGTTGTTATTATTATTATTATTATTATTATTATTTGTTTACGTCAAAAATTGCACTGAAACCAGCAAAACAAGAATTTTATCTCTGCTCCGTTAGGAATTTTGTCCATTACTACATGCACTGTTGAATTTTAGGGGTCCTTGTGATTGATTCTCATACAAGAGCCAGATCCATGGCTTTCAACTAAGAGGTAACAGTCAGCTAGCTGTTCTAAATTTTCCTTATATGGTAAATGGAACTCGTGTCGTGTGCGCGGAGTCACTTTACTCACTAAAGTGTTTTACTAAAAATAATGTATATTAAAAAATATATATAATCACTTTCATTCTTAGCTGCAAGTATTACTTGTTTTAAATTTATTTAATACTGGAAGTTTCAGTGCTTTCAATAGTAAATACGTTATATAGTTAGATGATATTTATGAAATAATTACCTATTTTTTTAACTTTTATAATATTGCTGTAGAACAGTTGTCTATATGGGAATTTAGTTGGTGAGTACAAAATTGTAGGTATATGTATGGAAATAAGATATGTTCAATTGAATCGATGAATTCATCGACATTTAAGTGCACCGGCTGATTCCTGATAACTATTCAAAGTCATTTGAAAAGTAATTTTTTTATGCGTGCAAGTCATAAGTGTCGTGAAAATGAGTATAACTTTCTCCCATTGGTGTAGCGGTGCTATGTTAATCCCATATGGACCTAGTGACCCCTCCCCCACAGTGCCTCGTTCTACAATGTTGTCCGAGTCGGGCGCTTTTGTAGAACGAGGCACTGAGGGGAAGGGGGTCACTAAAGCCTGGTTTCCATATGATCGCAACGATCGCAGTCGCGATCGTTGCGATCATATGGAAACCAGGCTTAAGTCCACGTACATGTGGGAATTGTCACGTGAGAAATATACCCATACCAAAGTATAACTGAGAAAACCAACTCAGTACATATCAAAGACCTGCCTGGTTTCGAATAAGTAATGTTTATTTACCACCACCGATAACTCAACTCATACCTGCTCTTCTGCACTTACTGTCCGTTTATTAGATCCGAAATTCATTCGCTTCGATAGTTTCACAAACGTGTTTCAAAACGGTAAAACCTAGCGCAAGAGTTTTCAACTCAGGAAAACCAGATTTAGAAAGGTTTACTCGTTTGTACCTTTGAAATGCAAAATAGCAGGTATAGTTAGGTAAACATCCGTAATCATATGTCAGTTACTATCAATAGAATGTATTGTTAGTTTTCAAAGGAGCACATGTTGTACAGGATGTACTTTACATATCAATAGAACATCCGATCTTGAGCCTAGAGTACAGCACATGCGCTCTAAATGGTACGATTCGACTATAATTTCAATGAAGATCGACCTTTCAGTGACCTTAAAACCTTGATTTTAACCAATAGAAATGAAGCCATTTGTTAAGGATTCATCCGCCTTTCATGTGCTCTAACAACTTTCCTTTGTATTAGTTTTGTATGCATGCATGGACACCTGTATTTACTTAGGACAGTATATAAGTAACGCGAAAACTGTTGTCCACCGATTACCTATGTATAAAGCAGTGAAGTACTCTACGAGGTTTATTCTACGATTAAAGAAGTTGCTGTGCTCCAGTCTAGTTGTCTTTCCTGCCGTGTCGTCGCTGAGTAAGGCGAAGGAACAAGTTCCCTGTACCTCTGGTACCTTGTAACGAGTGCCTGCTGCCTAGCCGGTGGATGGTCGTTAAAAACATCACAGAGAGGAATGCTTTGAAATGCTTTAAATGTATTGTAATTGTAATAAAAGTGTACGATTGTCGGTAGCACCTGGAATTCCGTGATCTCATCCTGACAGGGTGGTTGCGATTGTAAGATCCTAAGACATACGTTGATAAATTTCTTTTTATTTTTTATTACGAACGTGAAAGTAAGACAGATGATAATGTATTTTAATGGCCTAAATCATTCAAGTATATCTTGTAGCTCAATGGTAGAGCGTCTGACTACTGTGAAGAAGGTCACATGTTCGATTACTGTTGATAGAACTTTATGATTCATGCACGTGACGAACATTTGATCCACATGGCCTTCACCGGGTATCAAACCTCATACACGTGACGAAATGCGTGGCTTCTCATAGGTTATTTACCTCATGAATTATTAATGAGTTTGAGAATCATATATGAGCTATGGATGAAACAATGAATGAACGAACGAACGAACGAACGAACGATCGATCGATCGATCGTTCGTTCGTTCGTTCGTTCGTTCGTTCGTTCGTTCGTTCGTTCGTTCGCGGGAGTACGGGACGAGTTGCATAGTTTGACACATGCAGTATTTTGCGGTTGGACATATAATAATAATAATAATAATGATATTTTTATAGCGCCAAATCCACTACTTGCTCATGGCGCTTTACAATAACAAATATTAAAAAGATAAAAACAAACAATAAAAAGGAATAAAAAATAGGTGTAAAAATACATTATGATTCTAACCAGCGCAAAAAGGGATACATTTCCAAAGTTCCTTTTACTGCTTCTTTTTCTTCGTCGGTACCAGTGCCGGGATACTTTTTTGCTCTCGATTTTCGTTTTATCGCGACTGTATTTATTTCTCGGATTTGTGAAGAGTGACTTGGCATCATCCCCTGTGACAAGCAAAATTTATTTATGTTAAAACTTCGCTTAAAAGGCGCAGTTTATATTAATTTCAAATAAGCTGGAGTCTATTTTCACTTGAATGTCCGCTGATATCACATACTGCTGTTTCATTATACTTATGGGTCCGTGCACGGTTCGGCCAATCCAATTTTTCATTTTTCTCAAAAAATAGAAAAAGCAAATTTTACTCAACTAGATAGTATTACTCATTTTAAAATTAAAAGAAAAAAAATATTAAATAGCCCACTTCGAAAAAGAGTGACAGCCTGGGATCGAGAGTGGGCTGAGTGGCCGCCCGAAGCCGCCCGAGCGTTTGTGGGATCGTTTGGGGGGACGCGAAGGCAAACTGCACGCGCAGATGACGAATTTATAGATGATTTTTTAGCGTGAAATAACGTATCTTTTTTAGTTGATTGCAGTGTTATTTTTCCTGAAATCTACAATAACATTCTTGAAGGAAAATCCTAATACGGAAAGACTACAGATGCCCGAAATATAGTATTTCCTTTCTTTATAAACAGCTGTAGTATAATATTGTTGAGCATTTGACCGTGCACGGACCCTTATGAGTCTTATGTTTATGCTTATGCTTATTTCACAAGTGTGAACCAGGAACTTCGCTCTCAGCATTTTGTCAACAATAGCGATCAAAGCGGTGTTTATCAAAACACGTTGGACGAAACATTTTAGAGGTAAAAACAAAATTTTAGTAAAAAATGTCAAAACAATCTAATTACAGAAAAGCGAAATAGCAGCCAATTTGTTTTGTTTTTGAACGGCCACAATATCACTGAATAATCTGCAGCAGATATCTTAGCTTGGAAAGAGGGCGACAAATTGCGACCGGAAAAGTTGAAAATATCGAAATATCGAAATTAGCCCTGCCGAGCTCTCAGAAATTTTCTAAAACTAAAAGTAGAGTCTAAAGGGAAATTTTAGTCGTTTTTATTGATTCAAGGAATGATTTACAACTGGCTCGCGACTTTGTAAATTGTGTGTTCTGCCGCAGTCACTACATTAAATCAAGTGCTCAGATTCTAAACCGAATGAAAAATGGGTTTTCCTATGTCCTATTAGAAAACGATGCACTATTGAGGTCTAGAAGAGCAGCTGAATTCATTCGCCTGCGGCTCGTGCATCTACTCGAGCTACCTTTCTAAACCTCAAGCGTGCGTCGTTCTCTAAAGGAAAAGAGTCACAAGTTATATTGAGGTCGCTACTTTTGGAGGGTCGTTATTTATTTATTATTGTTATCATTATATTGCTGGTGGTGGGGCGGGGGGGGGGGGGGGGGGGGAGGGAGGGTGGAAGCTACTTTCGCAATTTACTAACAATTGTCAAATTCTATCCCTAGATTTTTTAAGGAGGCTGAAAAGTAAGAAAGCGAAGTGGAATTTTCTTGGACACTTCCTCAGACATAGTCTCTTACCCGCAGCCATTATTGGTTCGTCACAGCGCTCTTTTAGCAGAGTACCAATAAATAAACAAAGTTGTGTTTTTTCTTGATTTTAACTTTTTTATTCCAGGGATCTCATCTAGGGATAGCCGGACGTGTGATCTCATGCCTCAAGGCCGAGGTAAATGGGGTGCGGCTCCCTGGATTCCAGGCTTCCAGAGCACTGCACGCTGGAAGACTGGGTTCCATTAAAACGTTTCCTGTTGGCTTGGCGTCCCTATGATATCATTCATCAAATATAACGAACATTCCTTGTTGTTGAATGTTCCTTGGAATTTCTCGTCAAAAGGAAGTCTTATTTCAATTTAAGTTTCTTTAAAGAAATGGATGCTTTTCTCATCTGTGTTTCAAGGTGGATGTTAGCCACTCTTTTGGTTTTTGGAGCGATGCAACAGTCTGGTAAGTTACATTATAAGACTTAAGCTTATTTGCTTATGCGATCGAAAATGGAGCTTGAAATGTTGTTCTTTTCGGAATTCGGACAATTCAGTTGTAGATAGAATTAAAATTGTCATTTGACCGATGGCAAGTGAGTTCACTGATGTTGTTTTCTTTTTTCTGTTTAATGTGATTTTAGAATCGATCAGTTTTCAACGTGAGCCTGACAATCCTTGGGACGTGGTGTTAGGGCAGCTTCGAGTGTCCCTGAAATGGAATTCACTTCTAATAGCGAAACCATTCAAAGCATCTACATTAGGAGACAGAAGCCTGACGACATTGCCACCATCCACAATAGCATCGCGAGCCCTAACAGCCCGTTCACTAAGAACAACAACTTTCAAAGACCACAGTAACTACGAAGCCAATCTTAATTCATGAGCTCGTGATTTTGAAGGTGAAAGAACATCAGGATTACTTTTATACTCTCACGATAAATTACCTGAATAGCAATAGTGTACCACAAGAAGCAAATGACCGAGTACTTGTTTAAAGTGAGAGGTAAGTAGCGATATATGTGGCGGATAAACTTGGTCACATGCAGCCAGTGCTTTTAGAATTTATAAAGTTTGATGTCCTTGATACATGTAGAAACCATGCATATCATCCACAGACTGACCTAGAGTAAGTTACTGTAATAACTTAATTAAAGTTTATATGAAAGCTAAAGTTCTGGCCTCCAGAGTTTTTTGTCATCTATCACATAAAGTATTTATGGTAATGTATGTATTCGTTCGCATGTTTGTGTACGTACAGTTGGTTTTTCAGTTTATACAAAATGCAATTGTACCAACGCAAGTTTCCGCACGCTAATGCGTGAGTTTTTTTTGTGTTGTTTTTTCCGCCCTTTGCTTGGCCTTTAATTGGTACAATATATATCGCTTAAGCAAAACCATGTGAGCATTCTAAATGGAACTCTCACAATTACGTTACGAGCGGAGACTTGTGTGTTTGTCCTGCTACTTCAGCTTGATTTCAACCGCGAAAAGCTTTTAAATAAAGTTACATGTCAAAGTTTAAGCTATTCGAAGAATTTGGTTTTTCGATTGCTGTGGTGTTATTGAATGAAATTCTTGTGATCGTTGTAGCGTTACAAAGTTGTCTGAACCGCGAAAAGTCGTTTCCTGTTTGGGATCGAATAAAAAGGAAAACAGAGGAAATATTTGTGCCGTGTAACTGTGTGCGAAACCAATTTAAGCCGGCGGGGCTAATATGCTGGTAACTGGGAGGCTGGTAACTGGTAACTGGTGAAGCTGGTTACCTGAGTAACTGGTGAACTGGTAACTGGGAACTGGGAACTGGTAACTGGAACTGGGAACTGGGAAACTGGGAACTGGTAACTGGGAAACTGGGGTAACTGTGTAAACCTGGTAACTGGTAACTGGAACTGTGAACTGGGAAACTGGGGAGACTGGGAACTGGGAACTGGGAAACTGGGAACTGGGAACTGGGAAACTGGGAACGTGGGAACTGGGAACTGGTTAGCTGCCGAATGGGAACCTGGGAACTGGGAAGCTGGAACTGGGAACTGGGGGATACGTGTAGCACGAAAAGAGTTGTTCCCATTTTGTTATTATTTTTTTATTACAAACTTTTCTCATACGAGGGTCACTAATGCGTTCTGATTTTTTAGTTTGGCTCGGCGGCTCGGTGGCTCGCCAGTCCCTCTAAGAATTTAAAGAACGATAAATATGTATATTTTAGAGGCGTATTTTTTTTAATCTGCAAAACTGTCCGTGCGAAGCCGAAGTCGGAGCGCGTTTCTCTTCGAAAAACTGTTTCAAACACATAGTATATTTCACTCATAGAAACCGAAAGAATGATAGAAAATAATATATTTCTTTCTTTCACAGCGCGAAAGCAATTTACTTGAAAATTAAACCTTAAAACCGTCAAAAATTTATAGTCCGCGAAAATGTGAAAGGATATATTGTCTGTTTACATTTCACAAGATTGTAATCAGTGGCGCATAAATTATCTATGCCGTCCGCGCCGACGTCGAAGCGAGCGAAATTTCGATATAAAGTTTTATTTTATACACATCGAATTCGATGAATCGGATAAAACGATTTTCTGAAACCGAGATAGAACACAGAAAAATTATCACGAACCCAGCGAAATTGTATTTGTATAACCTGTGTTGTGACGCCCTCAAAAAAGCCCGCGGTGAAGTTTGCTCTGTGTCGAAGCCGTGACTTTCAAATTGCATTAACTTACCGTTGTGACGCCTCAAAGCAAAAATTTTGTGAGAATAAACAGGTAAGCTTGCTTGCCGTTGAGTGAACCTTGTTCAATTTGACTAGCGAGCGCGCCGAGTCCACTTGAGTAATAGCGTGTTTTATTTGACTAGCGAAGCGCGCCGGGGCACACTTGCGTAATACATGTTCTATTTGACTGGCGAGCGCGCCGAGCCACTTGAATATGAATAATTGTGAGAAAAATGGCCTTGTATTCTATAGTTTAGCCGAAAAAGGGTTTTGAAAGTAAT